ATTCTTATATGAATTACATCTACAAATGCTAATTCCCACACACTGAAGATTCTGACTGACTGTCGTGGCGTAAAATAGAATACACAATAAAAACAGGAAATATATGACGAAGTGGTAATCTTTACCCCCCCCCCCTTCCCCTTAAGCATCGGCTTACTTGCATTCCTGTATTGTATCACCATAGAAATAACAAAGAAATAATAACATAGAAATAAATAGAAATAACAAATAATAACAATAGAAATAACATAACAAGAAATAACATACATAACATAGAAATAAATAACAATAATAATAACATAGAAATAAATAACAGTAAACAATAAGACATAATAAATAAATAATCAAAGAAATAAAAAGAAATAAATAACATAGAAATAAATAAATAAAATAGATAACATAGAAATAACATAACAAAGCCACAACAGATTCAGGATCGATGAAATACACACACACACATACACATATATATGTGTGTGTGTGTGTGTGTGTGTGTGTGTGTGTGTGTGTGTGTGTGTGTGTGTGTGTGTGTGTGTGTGTGTGTGTGTGTGTGTGTGTGTGTGTGTGTGTGTGTGTTTCATCGATCCTAGTTGTTCCTCATTTCACCTGTTGTGGCTTTGTTATGGGCATTTCTATGGTGATACAGTACAGGAATAAACGTCAACATCTAACGTATTTTTTATAATGCTTAGCCTGCCGTAAATTCAGTGTATCGCATAGTTTCGAATTAATATCGTGAATGTGTTAACACGAAATCTAACTTTGTGTGAAATGAACTTTCCAGCACAGCCAGTTTATTATATCCAGGTGAGTTGTTGTTCTTGTTGTTCTTGTTGTATCTTCGAAACTGCGATTTAGAGAACATAACATTCTTATTCTTTATCAGTTATTGTATCCAGACGTCTAACTATTTATTTACTTGATTTTCCCAATCAATGTAATTTCAGAAAAGATTTATCAACGTTTTAGTTCAGTCAGCGTTCGAATCAGCAGTAAACTTCAATTCTAAGTCAAGAGAATAAACAATATTATCATCATTATATTTCTTTCTCAAAAACAAGACAAAAAAAAATACATCAGAACATTTCCTTTTCCATTTTTCAATAATTTCCATTGTCACGATCAAATCAAATGTATTGGTTTGACATTAAATGTAACAGTCTGACATCCACATCACTATATTGACATATTTCAGAAAGGAATCCGGGTCTTTCCAGTGTTTGTCTTCCTTTTCCTCTGTGCAAGTGAATAGTGGAGTCCAGATTCATTCCGTTGATTGATGATTAAATATGGATTAATACATGGATATATATACGTTTGTGCATATATATATATATAATATATACATATATATATTATATATATATATATACATTATATATACATACACACACACACATGATAACACGATACACACACACGCACACACACACACACACCACACACACACACACACACACACACAACACACACACACACACACACACACACACACACACACATACACACACACACACACACGCACACACACACACACACACACACACACACACACACACACACACACACACACACACACACACACACACACACACACACACACACACACACACACACACACACAAACACACACACACACACACACACAACATATATATATATATAATATATATATATATATATATATATATATATATATAATATATATATATATATATATAAAGATAATACCCCATCACCTAACAAGCAGAAAAGTTGGCCCCGGACCGCGTCGCCAACTGCCTGCCAGCGGCCATGACAACCGATCAACTGCCGGCGGCGCTTGCAACGTTGATCAAAAGAAGGTCCTTTTCGCTCGAATGACTCAGACGCAGGAATCACAGGAGTTCGAATCATTGCCGAATCTTTTTCGAGTCAGAAGGGAATTGTCTCGAATTATCTGGGAAACATTTGGGAATCGCGGGGGGAATCCTTTGAGAATCATCAGCAAGTCGTACAGAATCATGGGCGAATCATCTCGAATCATCACTGAGACACTTAGAATCAAATTCGAATCATTTTGACTGATCAGCGAATCGTCTTTATCCATGAGGAAATCATATCGAATCATTAGCTAATCACCTTGAATCTTAAGCGAATCATTTCGATGCATAAACAGATGAATTATCCTGATCAGTGAATAATCTGTATCCATAAGTAAATTCAATCAAGTCATTAGCTAATCACCTTGAATCTTAAGCGAATCATTTCGATCCATATGAATATCGAATCACAGGCGAGTAGTCACGAATCTTAGACTAATCACCATGAATAATCAGTGAATCATTTCGACTCTTAATCGATACATTTTGAATCACGGACGAATCACCTCGAATCGCAGGTGATTAGCATCGAATTATAAGCGAATCATTTCGAATATTTACTGAATTACCAGCAAATTATCTCCAGAACAGAAAGATTCGAATCACACGAATAAATCATCTATAATGTTGTTACTGAATCACCCCGAATCACCAGTGATCACCCGAATCATCTCGAACCATAAAAGCATAATCTTGAATCATATACAAATGGTCTCGAATCTATGGCACAATCCCCCACTGAATTCATCCCGAATCACCCAGGAGCCAAAAACAAAGTCGAACTATAATCGAACCGTTTCGAATCACCGTCTCGAATCACTCCGATAGATAAATAGATAGATAGAAAGATATAATCACCGCCGAATCACTCCGATAGATTGACAGATAGATTATATAAATAACCGCTGAATCATCCCGAATCACCCAGGAGCCAAAAACAAAGTCGAACTATACCTCGAACCGTCTCGATCACCGAAGCGACAACCCCGCGGGCGAATTCAAGACCCCCCAGAGGTATTTCAGGTTCTTCGTTTCGCCCCATTCTCCTTGCGACAACCTGCTGCGCCTCGCCACTCGACCTGAAAAATACCCTTGTCCCAGGAACGCAGCGCCAGCCCCCCCCCCCGCACACCCCAACCCTATCCCTCCTACCGCCTGACAGTCTCCTCACCCCTTCTGTCAGTCCCCCCCCCGCAGCCCCCAGCCCCCCTTCGCTATTCTCTCTCTCAGTCCCCCAACCCAACCCCACTCCTCTCCTACCTCTCTCTCTGAGTCCCTTCACCTCAACTATTCCTTACGCCCAATCTTAGTTAACCGTCGCGACCCACACCACTTTCCGCTATCCCGGCTCTCTCAGTCCCCTTCACCCCCATCACTACCTCTTCCCAACCCCCTTTCGTAGTCCCCCTCACTCCACCCCGCCACTTCGCCCTATTCTCTCTGCTCAGTGCCTCAACCACAAGCCTTTTCTACCCCCTTCTCTCAGCCCCTTTACCCCCAACCCACCTTTTCCATACCCCGTCTCTCAGTCCCCTTTCACCCCCACCATACTTTTCCCTACCCCCGAACCCCATACCCCATTCCCTACCTTCCGTCTGCTCAGTCCCCCCAACCCCACCCTTCCCTATCCCCCTCTCTCATCCCCCCCAACCCCACCGCTTTCCTACCCCCAATCTCAGTCCCCCTCAACCCCGACCCCCACCACTCCCTACCCCTCTATCAGTCCCCTCACCCACCCTTCCTTACCTCCTCTCTCAACCCCCCAACCCACCACACAACTCTTCCCTACCCCCTTTCTCAGTCACCCCAACCCCCACCCCAACCCCTTCCCTTACCCTGTACCCCTAAGTACTCCCTCTTCCTACCTCCTCCTTCCTCCCTCGTGCCCTGTCGTACTTCTTTAACTAATACTCCTCCCCACCCCACCCCCTCCCTGTATCTTTGCCCTTCTTTGCCTCACCCTACTATACCCTCTTCTCTGTGTGCCCTGTCATAATTCTCTCTAAATACCCTTCTATGTCTTTCTATATTCGTCCTCCTTCACCTGTAAACGTAATTTTCTCTCTCTCTCTCTCTCTCTCTCTCTTCTCTCTGTCTGTCTCTCTCTCTGTCTCTCTCTTCTCTCTCTCTCTCTCTCTTCTCTCTCTCTCTCTCTCTCTCTCTCTCTCTCTCTCTCTCTCTCTTCTCTCTCTCTCTCTCTCTCTCTCTCTCTCTCTCTCTCTCTCTCTCTCTCTCTCTCTCTCTCTCTCTCTCTCTCTCTCTCTCTCTCTCTCTCTCTCTCTCTGGTCTTTTTACCTAATTCCCTCATCCTATCTCCCCCCCTTCCCTTTTCTTCTTTATCCATTCATTCCTTTTCACTTCTCTCCTTCTCCCCCTTTTTTTTTTTTTTAATCTCACCCTTCTCCCTTTCCTCTCTCTACTCCCTCCTCTCCCTCTAACCCCTTTAGCACTTCCCCCGCCCCTCCCCTTGTAACTGACGGGTACTTATGGGGAAAAAAGGGGAGGGGGGGGGGAGGGGGAGGGGGAGGGGGAGGGGGGGGAAAATTCATTATAACTTCGCTCGCCGCAGATAGAAGGGGTTGGGGGTCGGGGGGGTGAAGATACCTTTATCACTCTCATTTCATATTTTTGGTTTCCATATATATATATATATATATATATATATATATATATATATATATATATATATATATATATATATATATATATACATACATACATACATACATACATACATTTTTTATTTTGCGTATTGACATCCTTTTGCACCATTTACAATTATATTCATTTTATTCCCAGTATATTATGTACCACACACATCCTATTTTATAATGATTTCGCGCATTATATATTTCAAATTGTTTTGTATGTCCGTAACATTTTGCGAATTATCCTCTTGATGTCTTTGGCATTTAGACCTTTTTACACGTTATGCATCACGTGTAATTAGATTTTGTTCTTGTTTCTAAAAGCCTAGGTTATCCCTTTTAAGCTGAAAATCGTAAAACATTGGGCTGGCAGGGAGAAAGGGAGGGAGAAAAAGGGGGAAAATGAGCAGGAGATGAGGAGAGGAAATCGAAGTGGGCGAAGGAAGAAGGAGAAGAAGAAGAAGAGGAGGAGGAGGGAAAGTGAAATGAGGGAGAGAAAGAGGAGAAGAAGGAGAGTAACTAAAATGAGGGAGAGAAAGATTAGAAGGAGGAGGAAGAGAACTAAGATAAAGGAGAGAAGGAGACGAAAGAAGAGGAAAATTGAAATACGAAGGAGAAAGAGGAAGGGGAGAAACAAAAAAAAAAAAAAGGGAGAGAGATCATGATGTGAAGAAGAAAGAAAGGAAATAAAAGAAGGGGCAAGGCAGGAGGAGGAATAGAGATAGTGATGATAATTAGAGGAGTAGAAGCAAAAGAAGGAGAAAGAAAAGAGACAATATAAATGACAATAGCATGAGGTCTTCTCCATCAACACTCCAACACCATCTCTCCCTCATTAGCCACTCAACTGTCCTCTCGTTCACCTGTCTTCTCTGATTCCTTCGTGTGCTTAATAACCTGTCCTCCTTCTCACTGCATTCCTCTCTGTACCTCCCCTCTTCTTCCCTCTCCCCACTCCCCACCCCTCGCTCTCCCCCTCTCGACCCTCTTCCCCTCTCCTGTCCGACTCAGCACCCCTGCCCCTCTCCTCTCCTTCCTTCCCTCTCTCCCTTCCTCTTCGCTCCCTTTCTCCCTCCCTTCCCTCTCTCCCTCTCCCTTGCCCTTCTCCCTGTCTTCCCTGCACTTCCGCCTTCCCTCTCCTTCCCCTCCGCTGCCTCCCCTCCCATCCTCTTCCTCCTCCTCCCTCCCTCTTCCCCTCTCCCTTCCCACCTGTAGCCAGCATGTGACAGTTGGCTTGTGATGGATGAGGTCTGGGTACCGTCAAGAGGGGTAGGGAGGGGAGGGGTGGGGAGGGGAACGATTTACTCTTTTTCTTCTCGTCTCCTTCTTCCTCATCGTCTTCTAGTCCTTTAGCTCTCCTCAGTCCTCAGCCTCCTCCTCTCTAGCTCACATCCTTCTATCTCCCTTTCCCCCTTTCCCTCTTTCCTTAACCTCCTCCAACTCCCTAGCCTCAGCCCTCAACCTCCCTAGTTCTCTCCCTTCAATCTCCTCCCTAGCTCTCTCTCTCCTCAACCTCCTCCCTATTCCTTACCCCTCAACCTCCTACATCTCACCCCCTCAACATCCCCTATTCCTCGCCCCTCAACCCCCTCTCCCACCGCCCTGCCTAGCGTCCCAGAGCGGTGGCACTGCCTTGGCTCCCCGGCTGGTTGGATGTGACAGATTGGCTTCTCTTCGCTGATGTGGAAGTCCCTCAGGTGCTAGCTTTTGCTCGGGTGGGGAGGGGGGGGCGGGGGAGGAGGTGAGGGTGAGATGAGAGGAGAGAAGGAGAGAGGGGAGAAAAGGGAGAAGGGGGGGGAGGGGGAGAGAGAGGGAGGAGAAGGAGGAGAAAGAGGAAGGGGGCTGGGAAGGAGAAGGGCAGGAGGGGAGAATGGGGAGAAGGAGAGAGGGGAAGGAGAGACGGGGAATAGGGAAGGGGAGGAGGAGAGGCGCGGAAGGAGGAGAGGGGGAGGGGGAGAGAGGAGAAGGGGACGGGAGGAAAGGGGGAGAGGGATATGAAGGGAAAAGAGGGGGGAGTGGGAAGAGAGGGAAGCGACAGGCGGACGGGCAGAGACAGAGAAGGGGGAGGGGATTGTGACAGGTCGAGGAGACAGAGACAAGAGCGAGAAAGAGGGAAAGGAAGGACGGTTTTAAGAAAACGATAGGGAGGAATGCGTGGAGGGAAGGAGAGAGAGGTAGATAGGAGATAGAAGAGAGAGAGAGAAAAAGACAAGACACACCAGACCTCCCTCTCTCACACTCACTCACACTTCTCAGTACGTCCTGTCTCCTTACCTTCCTCTCAAGTTCTTTTTCACCGTCTCTCTGTCCTCCCTCCTTTCCTCCACTCATTCTCCTGCCTTTCTTTCTCCCTCCTTCTTACCTCTTTTTTCTACTCCTTTTTTCCTCTTACGTCCTTCCTTCCTTTTCTAGCTCTCCTTCCTTCTTCCTTTCTCTCCTCTACTATTTCTCCTACTCTCTCTTTCCTTCCTTTAACCTAATTTTCCTTCTTTCTTTCTCTAATACTCTTTCCTCCCCTCCTTTACTCACTCTCTTCCTTTTCTTCTTTCCTTGTCTCTGCCTTTTTCCTGCTGTATCCTCTCTCCCTCTACTCTTTCCTCCTTCCTTTATTCCCTACCTCCTCCTTTCTTTCCTTCATTCCTTCATCATCTCCTTCCGTATCCTATACATACCTTTTCCCTCCCTCCTACTCTTCCATCCCTCTAACCTTTCTTCCTTCAATCTCTTACTTCCCTCTACTCTTTACTTCCTTTTTTTCTCTCCCTCCTTCCTTCTCTCCTTCTTCCTCCTTCAATACTCCTTTTCTCCTTCCTCCTTTATTCTTTCCCTCTCTCCTTTCTCCCTTCCTTCCTCTACCTTTCGTCCTTCTTCCCTTTTCTCTCTATTCCTTCCTCCCTCCTTCCTTCTCTCCTTTCTCTACACCTCTTCCTCCTTCCTTACTTCTTTTCCCTTCTTCTACCTCTCTTCTTTTATCCTTTCTCCTTCTACTCTCTTTCCTTCCTCCTTCTCTTTCTCTCCCTCCTTCCTTTCTCGACCACTCTTCC